CATGGCGATGGAGCACCGCCACTCAAACACAGCGCTGTTGAGCCGAACGACTGCTTGATATGCTTGAAGAATTGAACTTTTTCCTCGCGCGGGAACTCGTCTGCACTTGCGCTTCCTAGAACTTCCAGTGCTTGAACGACAGCATCGTTGTACTCGTTAATCACAGTCTTGGTGCCGGATTTGCATTCAAGATGTAGACTTGGCGAGTCCACACCCAACTCGTTCCGCATAACACAAGCTGCCATCATGTACCGTAGCTCTCGGATGTTGGGCTTGTCTTCGTTCAAAACGCGTTGTAGAGCAGTCAAGTTTGTTCGTAGCTGGACAAAGTCACAGTACTCTAAATCTTCGTCAGATATCGTTGTCTTCCAGTCGTCTTTGCCTTCCAATGTATCCAAATATTCAGCCATCTCCGCCCATACTGCGTGAGTCGGTGCAGTCCTCATAAGCTGTCGCAGAGCTGCAGCCTGTCGGTTGCGTACACCAAAGATACTTGCATACCCACGTTTTACGACGACCAGTACGATTTTGATGAGTTTAACGGTGAAATAGCACGACATGGAGAAGAAAATGCGAGCCAACTGGTACAGTGCGATACCCCACTGCAGCGAAACTCTCGCCTGCAGATACAGGAACCAGCCGATGACTTTGTACTTGTGGATAAGCACCAAACACGCGATTGTCAATGTGAGTGCTGCAGTGACCTGTGGGCTGTTGTACATGGCCTGCAAGATCGATACAAACGAGCTGGAGGCTTTGATGTCGAGCGCCTGCATGGCCTTCCATCCATCAGTAAGTACGATAGAGGCATTCCCTGTTGTCCACACTGCACGTGTGTGGATTTGAGCAGCAAAGCGTGGGGTCTCTACCATTGCTAGTGCAGCCATGGGTACGAGGTAGTAGCTAGCAATGGCCACGACCATTACGGCGCTGGTGAAGTTCGCAACGAACTGAGCGATGCGCTCCGAGTCCTTCCATGTGGTATTGGGTTGCAGTACCAGTGAAATCTGTCGCTTGCTATCAGTGCGCGTCAGCTCTAGCTTCAATTGTGGTTCTGCTGCCACTGACGTTGAGGAGATTGGGGGTGTCACGGTGGCCATTGTTGTCTGAGACGGAGCAAAAAGTTGGACGGTGGTGGGAGCTCTTCGTTTGTAGCGTGTAGAGTGGTAATTGAACTAGTTTGGCGTTCAAGGGAGAGCTAATATTGGCAACTTGCCTTGTGCAATGGCGACCTGCTTGCAGCGGGTAGATGAGAAGTGAGTGCGATGTATGTCACTTTTGTGCACGCATTTCTCAGATTTCATCAGATGTAAACTGAAGGGGATAGCTTTCAACCAATTGAGCTTTTTTACACTGATATTTCAGCCATTGATAGAAGAGAGCTACTACTATTGGATGAAACTCGGACTGAAACAATGATGCTGCGACGTCGACCAATTTGGACCAAAGTTGCGCCAGTTGAATCTTGCCCTGCTTGCTGCCGATGGCGATACCCAGCTGTACGTGTTTTAAAAAGTTTAAAATGCATGTACTGTAGTACATAGCTGTTGATGGAGGACATTCTTGTAAATACGTATTAATACTTCTACGTCTTAACGCGATGGGCAGCACCTTGAATTCGACAGTCTCATAATTTTTAGACGGGGAATGTTCTACTGCGAGTCGCTACAGCACGAGACCGATATGTCATTGCACTTGCGATGAACAGCATTTTTAAATGTGCTGTTGGGTCGGACATTTTGCAACACAATTTAAGCGTTCTCAGATCTGATGATGTCCATCAGCCAATCATCGTGCTGTAGTGGCAGAGGCCTTCACGCTACGAATTGGCATGAACTTGCGCTATCGAGCGCCGCATCAGTGAGCTGCCTCTGAGTACGCAACCCGATCAAGATCATGGTGTGTCCCGCATCCGACGACTGCAAGCCCGCGCCACCAGTGCAGGTGATGGAATCTCCGGTGGCTTTGAAGGTGAAGACGATCAGGACCAAGAAACCCAATGAGGTGATGCTTGGTATCTGCGGCGGAGTGGGTCCGGCTGCGGGATTGTTGCTGCACCAGCTCATACTGCAGAACACCGACAGTGCTGGAGAGGACCAAGGTTTTCTGAATGTTTGCCACTTCTCGCGTTCCGAAGATATGACGGACCGTACCGAGTACCTCGTTTACGCCGCGAGCGTCGGCGCTGATGCAACTGATTCCGACTCGGATAGCGGGTCTACAGACGAAGATATATCTTACGACTCAGCGAAGGAGGTGGAGAACCCAGCATGTGGCATGGCCCGTACGTTCTCCATGATGCATGCTGCAGCCACTGCGGGACGTGCTCGACTTGTGGTAGGTGTGCCGTGCAATACGTTTCATGCTCAACCAATCTGGAACGAGTTCATACGGCGAACAGGTCATGCGAGCTACGTACATCACGTGCACATGTTGGAAGAGACGGTGGCGTTCATCGCAAACAAGCTGCCATCATGTAAACGCGTAGGACTGATGTCTACTACAGGAACACGAAACTCACGCGTGTACCATGATTTAATGGAGCCGCGTGGGTACACTGTGGTGGAAGTGTATGCCGGAGTGATGCAGCAGGAGCTTCACGAATCGATTTATATCCGCGAGTGGGGAGTGAAGAGTACGGCACCTTCAGTGTCATCGCGTTCGGAGGCAAATTTCCATCGCTATGCGCTGCATCTACGCGAGCAGGGAGCTGAAGTTATAATCTTAGGCTGTACCGAGATCCCATTTGTATTTGCTGGCAAGACGCATGTAACTGGCTGCCTCCTCATTGATCCGATGATGGCACTGGCTCGTGCCATGATTCGCGAGGCTGATCCAGCGAGGTTGAAACCGGTAGATGGCAGCTGTACCTCTTCAGGTACAAATTCTGTGAAGCCACAAATCTCGACCATGACAGCTTCGCTGACGCCTCGCGCGCATTCGCTAACTTTCACCCATACGTAGAGTAATAGATTTAAAGCAATGTCAACCTTTATTTTGAGTCGCAACATATCTCAATTCTGCATTTACATCAACGACGAGAGCTGGTTCAAGAAGTCCGTCGCCTTCTCAGATGCTGCAGAATCAGGCATAGTGCTCGTATATGTAGCGCTTTCAGTCGATCCGGCTACTTCTTCGCGTTGTTTGCGAAGACGCTCCAGACGCAACTGCTCCCTCGTCTTCTTGTCCACCACACCGGATAAAGAAGGGTGCGCCAATGACTGCGCAAGAGTCGCTCTCTCGTGCACTTCCTTTAAATGGCGTTTCTCCGTACTTTTTAAGCGCTTCTCCCACTGCGAAACCACAAAGCTTCCTTCTTCTCTTGTGTTGTCTTCAGCTCCACCACGGTGTTGCTTCTCAGATGTCTCCATTTTAAACTGCTGTTGCGTTCCCAAGAACGCTGCGTACTCCTCGCTGCCCGTCGCGACATTCCTTGTGCGTCCGAACTCGTCCATGATTTCCACCATAGTCTTCTTATCCTTAACACTCATCTCTTCGCTCAACTTCTTCTTGGCTTCAAAGTTAACCAGACATTCCCCTTTCATAAAGTCTCGGTTTCCTCCATTGGCCATCTCCTCGTACAGCTTTGTCTTCTTTCGAAGCATCTCCGCTGACTTCTTGCTCCATGCTTCGTCGTCGCCTTCGTCTGGAGCTTCTTGCGTTTTTTTCGCCTCATCGCGCTGATTGCGAGCGTCCACGCCTCTGTTACGATAATTTTTACCTACACGGTTCTCGTCAGACCGCTTACGCCGCTTGCTGCCGCCTCGCAAATGCGCGTATTTTCCTAAACGGCGACACGAGCTCTCTTCGTCGTTTTCTGCTGTTAAGGCATCTTGCAGCCGGCGTTTTCGCTCTTGGTCCTTCTGGAACACAACGGCCTTCAAGTCCACAAGAGACTTGGCGTCGACCTTGATCTCCTTGGCCTTGGACGGCACGAGTGCCGACTCCGTCAGGAACCCGAGCGACATGTTCAACACAGTTCTGGGTTTTGGCAGCTTATTCTATAATAAATAAATATTAGATAACATTTAGGTTTTTGAGTCCATGAACCCTTTTACAGCGCTATTCTGTATTCTACAGAATAAGAATTATGACAGGACATAATTTCCAGCAAGCTTGTAATCGTCGCAATTCCTCGCATGCTTGTGTTTGTAAAGGGTAGAGATGGGTGGTTCGATCTTGAAGGATCTACGAAGGGAAGATAGCCGGGGATAATTCGAATTGAATAGAAAAGACAGTATAAGATGACTGGAGGTTTTAAAAATTCAGTTTCTTGCTATTTTCGGCAGTTGTTGGTGACCACAGATTTCAGATTTATTCGAGAATGAACGCTCCCAACGAGAAACCGTTCAAGCAGTTATGGCGCGAGCTATCCAAGGCAGGATGGAAAGCGAGGAAGCCTAAAGGACTGAGTGCGGACTTCACGTACGTGATGCCCAGTGTGACTGGCCGCTTGGATGCAGAGAAGCGCGGAGTTAAATACTTCGTTGGTACGTTCTGCAGACAGCTCGGTATATATACTCACAGTACTGACAGATATGTGCAGGCGAACAAGAACTCATGACATCTGGACGTCGTCAGGGGTTGCTGGAGTATTGAGGGTTGCTGGTCTTGGTACTGTGTACCAGTTGTACCCATTAACCGGTCAACCTGAACCGGTCCAATACGATCCCGCTGTGATTATGGTACGTTGTTTATGCCATCCATGATTGGACGAGTAGAATGATTGGACGAGTACAGAATGATTGGATGAGTAGAATGATTGGATGACCTAGGTAGTGAGGACAGTGTAAGACCCGATAAATCAATCACTTTCGAATCTTCCTTCTTCCGCTCAAGTGCCTTCACTCCGGTCTCCGCACCAAGTGCAGAAGTCACTCCGTTCAGTCCCAAGCTTCGTTTCAACACCTCTACACCTTTAACAGGTTATGAGCCCAAGCACCATGTCCTCTGCCCATGACGCCTCGACTAAGGTCACCATCGACAAGTTCAACGGTGACAACTACGCGACGTGGAACCGCTACATGCGTGGCGTGTTTCTGACCAAGTCGGTATGGCACGTAGTGAACCGGGAAACGACGCCGAGCTTCACGGACATCCGGACCAAGGACGACTACGTCAAGGCGAGCAACATTGCGTTCGGACTGATGTTGCTCCACATGAACGCGGACTACCATCACGTGGTTGATGACTGCGAGGAAGCATGGGGCGCGTGGACGCGCTTGAAGACGCTGTATGGTGGGTCGCAGAAGGCTGGTCGCATCTACCTGAAGCGCCAACTCTTCAGCATGGAGATGTCGGAAGGCGGCAATGTCTTGCATCATTGCAACGAGGTCCTCAACATCAGCGCCAAGCTCAGCAGCATCGGCGCCAAGATGGAGGACGAGGACGTGGCGATCTGCTTACTGCGAAGTCTCCCCAAGAGCTACGAGAACGTCGTGCTCAATCTGGAGATGAGCAACGCAGAGCTGCGGTCGCAAGACGTTGTGAAAGTGCTCACAAACGAGCACATCAAGCGACAAGGTGAGAAGACGGCGACGGTGAAAACTGAAAACGCGGCCAAGGCGTTCAACACCGACCGAGAGTCTCGCCAATGCACGTACTGCGGGAAATTGGGGCACATGATTGACAAGTGCTGGACCAAGCAGAAGGATGAGGGTCGAGGTGCTCGACGCGGCGGCAACGGCCGTGGACGCGGAGCTAACAACATCCAGTGGCGAAACGACGGCGACGACGACTACGACTACGATCGAGTAGCGTTCGCGGTTTCCCTGGAATGTGGAGTATCGACGAACAAGAATGTGTCTGGAATGTGGGCGGTCGACAGTGGTGCCACACACCACATCTGTAACGACAAGTCCAAGTTCGCCAATCTCATCGAGCGCAATGAAGGCGAACTTTCGGTGGCCGACGGGAACAAGGCGGCTATCAAGGGTGTGGGGACCATCGTGGAAAGAGTGGTCCTGCCCAACGGCACCGAGCGCGAGATCGAGATCAAGAACGCGCTCTATGTGCCTAACATGAGCAAGAATCTGCTTTCAGTACCGCAGATCAACAAGAACGGAAAGTTCCAGGTGGTGTTCGATGGCACTGAGATGCA